CTTTAAAACTTTAGGCTCTGATACCAAGTTTGTCATGCCCCAAAACCGAGGAGCGTGACAGGCGCTCAACCGAGTAAACCCGACTGAGCAAACTTGCTAGATTTAATTCTACCCAAAGTCACCCTTGCACAAAGAGGAGATATACTCCATTATACAACTCTGAAAAATATTTCATTAACAACTTTCACATTGGTTCCATTAGCAGTTTCAACCATAATATCCAAAATATTAAAAATCTATAGGTTCTTTAAAAATACTTGATTTCCAAATACCAAGATTTCTACTTAAATCCCCAACATCAACCACCACCCACAATCTGTCTACGTAGCCTCTTCATCTTTTGACTTAAGAAGATATATCTTAGTGTAATTAGAAAAGCCATCTACAAAGGTGATGTAGAATTTCTTTCCACCTTAACTAATCGTGCTCATGAAATCTGCTAAGTCTGAATGTATTAGTTCAAGCAATTCTATTTTTCTACTAGTTACATTCTTAAAAGGCTTTTTGGTATATTTTGCTTCTACACAAATAGGACACTTAGAAAAATAATCAACATTAACTGCAGTAATTAATTCCATTTTTCTATGTCTTTTAATAGAAGAAATATTTACATGACCTAGTCTATCATGCCACAAATCAATTGACTCAGCAATATAAGCAGAATTGAAAGTACTAGCATCATCAATAATCTCTTGAGCGATGTTCAGTACAAATAGACCCCCACTAAGGTAACCCTTCCCAACAGAGTCTCCTCCATGAGAAATAATAACTTTATCAGATTCAAAAACAAGTTTAAGACCTACCTTGTTGAGAAGCGCACCAGAAACTAAGGTTCTACAAAGGGAGGGTACATACAGAACATTATTCAAATATAAAATTTCCAGAAATTAATTTAAGAAGAGTTCTTCCTTTACCCATAACTCCGGCTATAGTGGAGTTACCCATGTAGACACACTTGCTATCAGCAGATTCCTCAAAGTCATGAAACAACTCATTGTTGGCGTAAATGTGCCTTGAAGCACTTGTGTCCAGTATCTAGTCAGTCTTGTTAGCCACCATGTTTGCTTCAACAATTACAGCAGCAGTGACATCACCACCCTCAGTAAGGTTGGCTTAGACTAGAGCTTTTCCTCCATTCTTTGAGCTTTGTCCTTGTCTCTGGTTGCACTAAAAAGCCTTGTGACCAATTTTGCCACAGACATAACAAGGTCCTTTCGACTTTTGAATATGGCCCTCCGGCTTATTGAAGTAATTCTGCTTCTTCACATGTCCTTTCTTCTGTTTTCCTTTAAACCTGTCTTTCACAAAAGTACTAGAAGATTCCACAAGGTTAACTTTAGAAGAATTAAGAGAGAGAGATTTCATCTTATCCTTAAGCCGTTCAGACTCCTCATCTTTGAGATGGTTTGCTTCCTCAGTCCCCATGTGACTGATTAGTTCTTGAAGAGTTAAGTCTCTCTTCTTGTGTTTTATTTGATTCCTGTAATCACTCCAGAAGGTGGAAACTTTTCAAGGAAAATATTAGCCTGAAGAATCTCACACATCCCCATGCCCTCGTTCAAAATATCAGCAGTTAAGTTCTCATACTCGTGAACCTGTTCCATGATTGGCTTATCATCAACCATCTGAAACTTAATCCTCTTTCCAATGACATACTTCTTTTATCTCGTGTCATCAGCACCATATTTCTTATCCAAACTGTCCCATGTGACTTTAGCAGATTTATAATTTATAAACACATCAAATAGAGAGTTAGTCATATGGTTAAGCCCTCTCAGTGTTTTGTTATTTTTTTCAAACTTATTCTTAGTAGCATCATTAGCAACAATAATATTAGCAGCATTAGAACTATCAGCAACAATATTAGTAGGAGGACTGTTAAACAAAACATAATCAACTTCTAATTGTTCAAAGAAAATTAAAAGTTTCTGGGACCATTGCTTATAATTATTTCCATCTAAAGGTCAAGTTTTGACATATCAGGAAATATTTTTTTCAAAGTGGTGGACATTAGTCGATATTATATATGAAATCTCTTTCAAATTGTAAGAAAAATGAGTAGATATTATTGACTAAGAACAAGAAGGAAAGTAGAACAACTTATCAAAAATATTGTGTCGTGGCAATTCACTGCCTTGAAAGCGATTTCGGCCCGACTAAGTACAAATAATTAAGTCTGGTCTCTCCCCAAGGTTCCACAGCACCTCCAAACACGTGCTCGTGGCTGGAAGTTTAGAATTTGCACAAAACAGTTGGCCAGAAAGAAGAGAAGATGAAGGTATTTTCTGTAATTGTTACAGAAATTAAACAATATCATAAGAAGAAAAGTAATGATTAGCAAGATGGATTCTTGGTTAAGAATTGAGTGAATATGATAGCTAATGATCATCTTATTAATAGGAAATTGGGAAGGTTGTATGTATGACAAGTGTGGAGAGTCTTTTAACACTTATTCAAGTATATTAGTCCATTTGACAAGTGTATCTTTTCTTTCATGCATGAAGACATATGGTAGATTTGCATAGCCATTTGTCAAAGTCATTCAACACTTGGCTTTAAGGCTTCATATGCCTTAAAGCCTTGATTTTTCTATCTAATTGATTCTCTACTTCTGCCTTGTATTTTAAAAACATGCTTTCAGCCTCATCTTTTGACTTAAGAAGATATATCTTAGTGTATTTAGAAAAGCCATCTACAAAGGTGATGTAGAATTTCTTTCCACCTTTACTAACAGTGTTCTTGAAATCTGCTAAGTCTGAATGTATTAGTTCAAGCAATTCTGTTTTTCTACTAGTTACATTGTTAAAAGGCTGTTTGGTATGTTTTGCTTCTACACAAATAGGACACTTAGAAAAATAATCAATATTAACTGCAAGAATTAATTTCATTTTTTTAAGTCTTTTAATAGAAGCAATATTTACATGACCTAGTCTACCATGCCACCAATTAATAGACTCAGCAATATAAGCAGAATTGAAAGTACTAGCATTATCAGCAATCTCTTGAGCGATGATCGGTACAAATAGACCCCCACTAAGGTAACCTTTCCTAACAAAGTCTCCCCATGAGAAATAGTAACTTTATCAGATTCCAAAAAAAGTTTAAGACCTACCTTGTTGAGAAACGCACCAGAAACTAAGGTTCTACGAAGGGAGGGTACATACAGAACATTGTTCAAAGCTAAACAATTTCCAGAAGTTAATTTAAGAAGAGTTTTTCCTTTACCCATAACTCCAGTTGTAGTGGAGTTACCCATATAGACACACTTGCCATCAGCATATTCCTCAAAGTCGTGAAACAACTCATTGTTGGCGCAAATGTGCCTTGAAGCGCTTGTGTCCAGTATCCAGTCAGTCTTGTTAGCCACCATGTTTGCCTCAACAACCACAACAACAATGACATCACCACCCTTAGCAAGGTTGGCTTGGACTAGATCTTTTCCTACATTCTTTGAGCTTTGTCCTTGTGTCTGGTTGCACTGAAAAGCCATACGACCAATTTTGTTGCAAACATAGCAAGGTCCTTTCGACTTTTGAATATGGTCCTCCGGCTTATTGAAGTAATTTGCTTCTTCACATGTCCTTTCTTCTTGCCTTTCTTTTGTTTTCCTTTAAACCTATCTTTCACAAAAGTACTAGAAGATTCCACAAGGTTAACTTTAGAAGAATTATAAGAGAGAGAGATTTCATCTTATCCTTAAGCCGTTCAGACTCCTCATCTTTGAGATGGCTTGCTTCCTCAGTCCTCATGTGACTGATTAGTTCTTGAAGAGTTAAGTTTCTCTTCTTGTATTATAGTTAATTCCTGTAATCACTCCAGAAGGTGGAAACTTTTCAAGCAAAACATTAGCCTGAAGAATCTCACACATCTCCATGCCCTCGTTCAAAACATCAGTAGTAAGTTCTCATACTCGTGAACTTGCTCCATAATTGGCTTATCATCAACCATCTTAAACTTAATCCATTTTCCAATGACATACTTCTTTTTTCTCGCGTCATCAACACCATATTTCTTCTCCAAACTGTCTCATATGACTTTAGCAGATTTATAATTTATAAACACATCAAATAGAGATTTAGTCATATGGTTAAGCAGATGACCTCTCAGTGTTTTGTTATACTTTTCAAATTTATTCTTAGCAGCATCATCAGCAACAATAATATTAGTAGCATTACAATTATCAACAACAATATCAGTAGGAGGAAAACAAAACATAATCAACTTCTAATTGTTCAAAGAAAATTAAAAGTTTCTAGGACCAACGCTTATAATTGTTTCCATCTAAAGGTCAAGTTTTGACAAATCAGGAAATATTTTATTCAAAGTGATGGACATTAGTCAATATTATATATGAAATCGCTTTCAAATTGTAAGAAAAATGAGTAGATAATATTGACTAAAAATAAGAAGGAAAGAAGAACAACTTATTAAAAATACTGTGTCGTGGCAAGTCACTACCTTAAAAACGATTTCGGCCCGACTAGATGCAAATCGTTAAGGCCCTGCTCCCTAAGGTTCCACAGTACCTCCAAACACGTGCACTCGTGTCTAAAAGTTTAGAATTTGCATAAAACAGTTGCCCAGAAAGGAGAGAAGATGAAGATATTTTCTGTAATTGTTACAGAAATTAAAGAATATTATAGGAAGAAAAGTAATGATTAACAAGATGGATTCTTGGTTAGGAATTGAGTGAATATGATGGCTAATGATCATCTTATTTATAGGCAATTAAGAAGGTGGCATGTATGACAAGTGTGTAGAGTCTTTTAACACTTGTTCAAGTATATTAGTCCATTTCACAAGTGTATCTTGTCTTCCATGCATGAAGACATATGGTAGATTTGCATAGCCATTTGTCAAAGTCATTCAACACTTGGCTTTAGGGTTTCATGCAAGAGGCCACTTGAAAATAGATAGAACAAAATAAATAAAAACTCATGGCTATTGGTTGTAAATAGAATTTCAAAAAGAAATTTTTGACTTTGCATTATGAATAATTCCAATAATGTTAACCCAATTGGTACGTCCTCTCACTTCTTGGATTTAATGACAACCTTATGAACTCCATCGTATTTTAATCTAATGAACACAACCACTACATTATATATTGTTTTGTGTGTTATACTCGTGTTTTTACATCTGCACCTACTCAGGACAATACGGAATTACATTTGGTAACATTTGGTGTAATGACCCGACTGATCATTTTGCCTTTTAGAACCCTGTTTCTTTATATAAAACTTTTTGTGCTTGCTTTAACTAATTTATGACTCGCAGGGATGGTTGGTTCGGAAATTGGAAGAGTTTCGAGTGAAATATGTCCATTTGATTCTTTAGGATTCTCTTAAAAAACCAAGTTTGACTTTGGTCAACATTTTGAGAAAACAGATCGAATTCATGATTTGACGGTCCCGTAGGGTCTGTGGAAAAATATGTAACCTGGGCGTATGCCCGGAACCGAATTCTGAGGTCCCTTGCCCGAGTAATAAATTTTTACTAGAAATTGTTAATTTGAAGTTTTAAAGAATTAAAGAAACTACGTAATCATTGAATTCCTAGGTATTGGGCTCATATTTTGGTTCCGAAGCTTGGTACAGGTCCGAAATATCATGTAAGAATTGCCCATAAAATTTGGTGTCAATCCGAGTAGTTTAATGGCGTTTTGACCTGTTAGAGGAGAATTAAGAACTTGAAGTTCATAATTTGATTCATTTAGTTTTAGGGGATGATTCCTAGATTTAGCGTTGTTTTGGGTATTCCAAGGGTTCGAGTAGGTCCGTCTCGTGATTTCAGACTTGTCGGTATGTTCGGGGGGGAGCCCCGAGCATCAAACGGACGAGGTTCGAGTGAAGTGAAAATTTGGAGAAGTGCTGAAGAGTTGTTGCTTCTGTCATAACCACATCTGCGGTTCTAGGACTGCAAAAAGCGGGACCGCAGGTGCGGTCATTTCTCCGCAGAAGCGTCCAAGGGCAAGCCAGGCCAGAACCGCAGAAGCAACTCCCCAGCCGCAGATGCGGCCTGAAGACCGCAGATGCGGTCCCAGCCCTTTTGCCCAATTTCACAGGTTCAACCCATTTTTCGCAGATGCAGGACCGCAGATGCGAAAATCGTTGGGTAGTGAGGTTTATTTAATTCAAGTTCAAGACCATTTTTATCACATTTACACTCTTCCTTTGGGCGATTTGAGAGCTTTTGAGAGAAGGTCTCCACTTAGCATTGTAAGGTAAGTTATTTCCACCCATCTTTAGTTTAAATACTTGTATATTAGGTAGATTAAACACTAAAGATTAGGTAAAATCAAGGGGTTAGAGCAAGACCTAGGGTTTTATAAAACTTATATTTAGCCACGAAATTTGATATGAAATAAACTAGAAATCATAGATTATTGATCCTTAGGTTGTAGAGAACAACCTCTTTCGAAAAATCTCGGAATCCGGGCACGTGGGCTGGGAGTCGGAATTTAGGAACTCATGTAAATGGTTGGGAAATTGCTTAAATAGCTAGAATTCGATCTTGTGAGCCTATATTAATTAGTTCTTACTTCATTTAACTAGTTTGGGATCGTTCGGCTCCGATTTGAGGGCTTGGACTTGTTCTTGATAATTGGAAGTGCGCTTTGGAGCGAGGTGAGTCTCCTTTCTAACCTTGTAAGAGGGAATTGTCCCCATAGGTACGTACGTACTAGGTGATGAGAGTCTGTGCGTAGCTACTATGATATTAATTGCTTGGGTAGTCTAGGACCCACATCACGCCTAATTTGTGAATATCTTTAAATTAAATTGTTAATGTGATCATTTATGATATGCTTGAGACTTGGGAGAAATAAAAGTGAACGTGTGAACTTGTTGAACCTTGTAAGAGTTTATTTGTATATAAATGCGTCTTCGTGTGTATTCTTGATGTTTCTTGATATTTATGGATCGGACCGATTGCCTTGGTGTAAATAGATGCATCTATGGTTCGCGTCGTTTGACCCTCGATAGACAGTTTATTCTCTGTTGGAGCGGGCCGTCGACCTCGGCATGATGTGCACATGATATCTATGTTGAAGTTTATACATGACATGTTTTCTTGCTAAGTATTTGAAAATGAAAAAGGCTAACTGAAACATGGTTAAGAACATGATTATTGCTTTTCGTTATAAACTGTTTATTATTGGTGATTCTCATGCTTAGTATAGCTCATTATTATATTACTTTGACCCTAGTAAGTATCAAGTCGACCTCTCGTTTCTACTTCTTCGAGATTCGACAGGATACTTACTGGGTACATATTGTTTATGTACCCATACTACACTTCTGTACTTAATTGTACATGATCTGAGGCAGGTACATATGGTTACCAGTCTGGTGCACGCCCCTGAGTTAGTGGCTGAGACTTCCACGGTGAGCTGCTTCCTTCCCATGCCGTTCAGCAGCCGGATGGAGTCTTTCTTTACTTTTGTTGTCTTTTCTATCTCAGATAGTAGGATAGAGATATTCTTTTGTATATTCTACTAGATGCCCATAGTTGTGACACCAGGTCTTGGCACACACATTGGTAGACTTATATTTTGGGTTGTATAATCATGTTGCTTACATTATTGATCACTTCTGGGTTTAAATCCAAATTGGAGTATCTATTTTACTTATTCCTGATAAAAGTAATATAAGAATTTTAGAAATGTTTCCGCGTTGGCTTGCCTGGCAATGGTGTCGGGCGCCTTCATGGCCTATTACGGAAATGGTTCGTGACATTTGGAGATTCAACTATTATAGTTTCACTATCTATTCTCTTTTAGCCTACTTGGTTCACTCAATCGTGTTGATCACAGGAAAATTCTTTTAGAAAAGTATTTAAGAAAATGAATCAGAAACTAGAAATTCAAACAACGATTTTGGTCTAATGAGTTAATCAGTTGACATTTGAGCATCTCGTGGAACATGTGTGTACAATATTACTTTTGTTGTTAGGGGTTCGGAGCTGTTATGATGAGGGGAAGCGTGTGGCAGAGACATTGATGTTTGACTACCACCGACAACATGGGATTGGTAATGTATTGTTCCTTTGACATTGTTCAGGTTGTCCACATTCCACAATATAACTTTCCCTGATCCATTGATATTGACATTGACGTATTGGGACAGAAATTCGCATTGCTAGAATATTCAATACATATGGACCTCGGATGAATATCAATGATGGGCGTGTTGTCAGCAACTTTATAGCTCAAGCACTTCGATAAGTTCTTTCTCTCAAGTGCTGTCACTCTGCTAAAAATATACAAATATAGCTATCTTCCCGTTTGTATCAATTAATATACCACATAAATACACCAACCCTTTTAACTTATGGCTGGTAATGTTATTTCTAATTTGCTCCATTTTTTAGTGATGAACCATTAACAGTTCAAGCTCCAGGGACACAGACTCGCAGTTTCTGTCATGTTTCTGATATGTTATGGCAACGAAATACTATTGTAACCATTCTTGGTTTATGATTTCGCTCCCTAATGTTATCTTCTCCCTCCCAAACCTGTTGAAACTTTGAAGGTTAATGGGCTTATTCGGCTAATGGAAGGGGAAAACACACGGCCATTCAACATCGGAAATCCAGGTGATTGGCTGATTTATCTTTTAAAGGTGGTATTCTTCTTTTGTGAGTCCGGCACACCCGCACCAGATCCTAATGAGATGCAAGAGTCTGATAATTTTGTAGTTTGCACAAATCAATGGTCTGAGTCAATTGGTGCACATCTGCCCAAGGGCGGATCTATATTGGGAGGGGTGGGTTCCCTCCCAAGACTATGTATAGTATTTGTATTTTTCTGATTTACTTATTATTTTATTTTTTTGGTGGGAAAGATAGACTATATTATAACATGCTAAACAAGTACAGCGTATTTATTTAGTGGATGCATACAAGGTATCCGTGTACAAAGCTAGGGCTTGTTGCTTGTTCTCTTACATGGGGAACAGTAGTAGTAGAGGTAGTAGTTACTAAAGAGTTTGCACTATTACACATAATAGATAAACTAGAGAGAGATTGTGTAGAATTCCTAATATTTCTTCTTAAGCATCCTGCGGTGGAGTGTGCCGAGTGTGCCCATGTGATCTTGTTCATACCAAGACATAACAAAAGGTGGTGGTGTCCCAAAAAGTAGGCAGTGCTCCTATGCATGTGTTGCTCCATATCTAGCTAACATATCTCCTACACAATTCTGCTTTCTGTAGATAACTTGTACTGATGGACTATCCAGCTGTTGGAGCAATAGCCTGCAGTCATTAATGATATTAGTAAAATGTTGTGACGACCCAAAGGGTCATCACCGTAATTCTTCCTTGTCCCGTGCTTCCGAGGCCTTGAAAACCTCGCTTTTAGTTGCCTCGATTTGCGTGCGTAGTTCGGGCGCGTAGCCGGAAAGTTTTTATGTTAGAATATGTGAATTTTGTGAAACATTTGATGAATTTTGATATTAATATGCATAATATTTGACTTCGGTCAACATTTTGGGGAAACGGACTCGGACCTGTGATTCGACAATCCCGGAGGGGTCCGTAGAAAAATATGGGACATGGGCGTGTGCCCGGAAGTAAATTCCGAGGTCCCAAGCCCGAGAAATAAATTTTTGTGTGAAATTGTTTTCTGAAATTAATTAAAGAAAATGAAGAAGAAAATTGATCGGAAAACTGTGGTATCGGGCTCGTATTTTGGTTCCGACGCCCGGTACGAGTCTTAAATATGTTTTAAGCACTATCTATAAAGTTTGGCTAAAAACGGACGTCATATGACGTGTTTCGGACTTTTTAACATTTTTAACATGATTTCAACTTCAAAACAAAGATTTTCATGGGGGAAATTGGATGTTTTGGGTAGAACCTAGGTTTTCTGCAAATTGAGGAGTTGGACCTCAATTTGGGGTCCGATTTCAAAACAAAGCATATATTTGGATTCATGGGAGAATGGGTAATCGGGTTTTGGTCTGAACCTCGAGTTTCGACCACGTGGGTCCGGGTGTTTTTTTGACTTTTTTGGGAAAAACCTTGTAAAAATTATTTTCATGCATTGGGATTGATGCATTTAGTAATTATTAATGTGATTGAGTAACTTATGACTAGATTCGAGTGGATTGGTGGTAGAATCAAGAGGTAAAGCTATACTAGAAGCGTGAGTTGAGTTTGGAGCATTCGAGGTAAGTGTTTGTTCTAACTTTGGCTTGAGGGAATAGGATTAGGATGATATTTGCTACTTGCTAATGTGGAGTACGGTGTATAGGCATGGTGACGGTTATCTATGCACCGGAGTCTAGCATGACCGTGAGTCTTGATTGCTTTTAATTCGAATAATGTGACACAAGCTCCTTGTTTATTTGATGAGTTTCATATTATGTGAACGGTTGAGGTAAAATTTTGATTGGTGTACTCTTGGAGAGTTATCTCGAACATGAATGTTTTAGTTGAGGAAAAAGTGATTTAAAAAGAGAATGTGTTGTGATTACTCCCTTGCCGGGATGTGTAGACTGATATATATACTCTCCCTTGTCGGGACATTTTGGTTTGTTAGTTGTACCCTTGCCGGGTTAAAGGTATTGAGATGCTATTCTCCCCTGAAGGGGTCTACTATATGAAGTCAGATATTATACATGATATTATGGGATCGTGTGGACGTCGTCCACTTATACATGATATTATGGGATCGTGTGGCACGCTGTCCACTTATATATGATATTATGGGATCATGTGGCACGCCGTCCACTTATATATGATATTATGGGATCGTGTGGCACGCCGTCCACTTATATATGATATTATGGGATCGTGTGGCACGCCGTCCACTTATATATGATATTATGGGATCGTGTGGCACGCCGTCCACTTATATATGATATTATGGGATCGTGTGGCACGCCGTCCACTTATATATGATATTATGGGATCGTGTGGCACGCCGTCCACTTATATATGATATTATGGGATCGTGTGGCACGCCGTCCACTTATATATGATATTATGGGATCGTGTGGCACGCCGTCCACTTATATATGATATTATGGGATCGTGTGGCACGCCGTCCACTTATATATGATATTATGGGATCGTGTGGCACGCCGTCCACTTATATATGATATTATGGGATCGTGTGGCACGCCGTCCACTTATATATGATATTATGGGATCGTGTGGCACGCCGTCCACTTATATATGATATTATGGGATCGTGTGGCACGCCGTCCACTTATATATGATATTATGGGATCGTGTGGCACGCCGTCCACTTATATATGATATTATGGGATCGTGTGGCACGCCGTCCACTTATATATGATATTATGGGATCGTGTGGCACGCCGTCCACTTATATATGATATTATGGGATCGTGTGGCACGCCGTCCACTTATATATGATATTATGGGATCGTGTGGCACGCCGTCCACTTATATATGATATTATGGGATCGTGTGGCACGCCGTCCACTTATATATGATATTATGGGATCGTGTGGCACGCCGTCCACTTATATATGATATTATGGGATCGTGTGGCACGCCGTCCACTTATATATGATATTATGGGATCGTGTGGCACGCCGTCCACTTATATATGATATTATGGGATCGTGTGGCACGCCGTCCACTTATATATGATATTATGGGATCGTGTGGCACGCCGTCCACTTATATATGATATTATGGGATCGTGTGGCACGCCGTCCACTTATATATGATATTATGGGATCGTGTGGCACGCCGTCCACTTATATATGATATTATGGGATCGTGTGGCACGCCGTCCACTTATATATGATATTATGGGATCGTGTGGCACGCCGTCCACTTATATATGATATTATGGGATCGTGTGGCACGCCGTCCACTTATATATGATATTATGGGATCGTGTGGCACGCCGTCCACTTATATATGATATTATGGGATCGTGTGGCACGCCGTCCACTTATATATGATATTATGGGATCGTGTGGCACGCCGTCTACTTATACATGGTATTATGGGATTGTGTGGCATGCCGTCCACTATATATATAAATATATATATTATGGAAACCGGAGTTCCTTCTGTTTATTTCCGATATTTCATTTTTATCTGTTACTCCCCGATAGCATGTCCCCTCCCAGCTTTGCTTTGTATTATCTTGTTATTGTTTTCTTGCACTTGTTATATATATCTGTGCATGTTAATTATGGTAGGTCCTGTCTAGCCTCGTCACTACTTCGCCGGGGTTAGTCCAGGCACATACCAGCACATGGGGTCGGTTATGCTGATGCTGCACTCTGTGCATTTTAGTGCACAGATCAGGGAGCAGCTTTCGGACCGCAGCAGTAGGACTTTTTGGGAGCTATCTTCAGT